AAAAATGTAAGGAATAGAAAGTAAAGATACTTGTGTGAAAATGTAATGAGTATAGGTCAGAAGTAGGAGGAAAAATAAGTAATGGAGTAAAGTATAGATACCTAAAAAGTGTACTTAAGTACAGTAACAAAGTAATTGTACTTCGTTACTTGACACCTGTGTGTATTAGTATGTATATTTGTGAGTGTATATATATATATATATATATATATATATATATATATATATATATATATATATATATATATATATGATTTTCCAGAAATCATGTTTTAATACATAGAGGTTTAAATCCAGTTAGGCAGTTTCAAAGACAATCCCGTTTAGTATTTAGGGTTTTCCTCTAAGGAAATCTAGGCAATTGCAGCACTCACTCATTTTGCAACAGCCCCTCATACTGGGTGGGCATGTGATGAGGAAGAAACATCAAGTAGGACTGATTTACACTGAGAGGAGCATGCAGCAGTCAATATATCTGGATTTTACACCAGGCAACCATAGATGCACAAAGAGTTTGACAACTTGACAGAAAGGTAAGAAAAGAAGCACCTTCAGTCAAACACTGGCCTTAAGGACAAAATGCAAGAAGGTAAAAAGTGGCAGCAAAGTGAAAAGTTAATTTTCTCCATCCTATTTCAGAAGGCAGCTTGAGGCAGTCATTTTCTCCTCCTTAATTGCATCAAAATGTAAATGCTGATCATTTAAAAATACTACAGGAGGCAGAAATAGTTCTAAAATGTCTAATTATTAAAGTTGTTTAAGATTTAAGCAGGCGGGTTGTCATAGCAACCAACGCACCTTTTTTGTAAAACCAGGATGTACAGCATTATCGTAAAAACAGCCTAAAGGCTTCTGGTAACTATAAAGGATGATCATACAGAGCACACCTGTGCACACTTATTTTAAATGAGAAATTTCTTTGCCCAACAAGCTCCTTTTCTGTTATATCAAATTAGCTCCACCTATTGGCCATTCTTTCAAATAACATCCACAAAACAGGGTATTTTAGAATCATAACTGCGCATCAATCAGTCAAAAAATGAGTTTATTGTTAGATTTTTGCTGTTATCCACATTTGATGATAAACTGTGATGCACAATAAAACCGATTAGACTAGAGCATGCAACAGCAGCAAAAGCCAAATATCTATAGCATTCTGTTTGGCTATGTCACCTGCTTCAAATTGATCAATTAAAAGCGAGTGCTCTGATTTGTTGTCTAAAAAATTAAAATGAGTTGACGACACATCTTCTGGTATGGCAGTTCAGAAGGCAAGAAGGGTTTGTGTGACTGCAGTAGCGTGCTGTCATTGGTGATGAGGCTGCTTTTATGGTATTTTATATTCTTTTCTTTATGTTGTCTGAATGAACTGAATATATATCTAAAATATCTTGTTTTCTAGTGTTGTGCTGATATGGCTGCTTTTTGGAGCGCTAGAAGCAAGTATAAGAAGTAAGACAAGTAATAATACAAATTCAGAAAACTGCATATTCTCCTCAATTATGAATTTAAATTTTTTTTTTTGGACAGCTTCCGCTTATGGATTTGAAAATTCTGATGCCAGGAGGCCTGAGCTTCATTCTAAAGCTGTGTCCAATGTACTACACTACCAGCCGGCCCCCAGATCCCAGCCCCACATCGTGGGTCACTACCAGCCAGCCCCCAGGTCCCGGCCCGACCACGTGGACAGCTTCCAGCCGGCACCCAGGTCCCAGCCCAATCAGGTTGGTCATTACCGGCCGGCCCCCAGGTCCCGGCCTGACCATGTGGGCAGCTACCAGCCAGCCCCTAGGTCCCAGCCCAATAAGGTTGGTCACTACCGGCCGTCCCCCAGGTCCTGGCCCGACCATGTGGGTGGCTACCAGCCAGCCCCCAGGTCCCAACTCAAGCAGGTGAGCAGCTACCAGGCGGCCCCCAGGTCCCGGCCCGACCACGTGGATAGCTACCAGCCGGCACCCAGGTCCCAGCCCAATCAGGTTGGTCACTACCGGCCGTCCCCCAGGTCCCGGCCCGACCATCTGGGTGGCTACCAGCCAGCCCCCAGGTCCCAACTCAAGCAGGTGAGCAGCTACCAGCCGGCCCCCAGGTCCCGGCCCGACCATGTGGGCAGCTACCAGCCGGCCCCCAGGTCCCAGCCCAGTCAGGTTGGTCATTACCAGCCGGCCCCCAGGTCCCAGCCCAGTCAGGTGGGTCACTACCGGCCGTCCCCCAGGTCCCAGCCCAATCAGGTGGGTCACTACCAGCCGGCCCCCAGGTCCCGGCTCGACCACAAGGGCAGCTACCAGCCAGACCTCAGGTCTCAGACCCAAAATGTGGGTCGCTACCAGCAGATCAGAAACCTACCAACTTTAATCAGGTCAATGCATCCTGGATACCAGTTCAGCAAGAAAAACCCTTCTTTCATTCCTAAGGGTAAATTTGGCCCTTAAATAATTGCATTGGCTAAAAGGAGGTGTGTACAGTATTTTTTACATTTAAACATTATAGTGCACTCAGGATCACAACTAACAGATTTTGTCTTTACAGGCAAAGAAGAATTCCAGAAAATTCTTCTTGACAAGCAACACCAAACCCAGACATTTTGGAAAATAAAAGCTAATACATTAATTTACAGAAGCTTCATTTTTTTTAAAGCTTTTCTGATACTGATTAAAGGCACTGTTTAGAAATAACTTGGATTCAAGGATCTGTTTTTATGGAGGAATTCTAATGAGTCAAGATCCAAGATTGATCCCATTGGTTATTGAATGCCTCGGTCATGGAAGTTTCCCGGGGGATAATCATCCATAACTACACCTCTGGATGTGAAGTTTCAGACTTGTAGGCAAAAATGCATAGCTTTTATTGGCACTGTTTGTTTTCACAAATTCTATTCCAACACATTTTCTCCAAAAAGCCTGAAATTAAAATTTAACTCTAATGAAATAGACTTTCAGCCAAATTAATTTTACCTTTTGACAGACTGCACTCTACTCTTAACATATAAAGCACAGGTGACCAACAGGTCAACAGGTTCTCCTAAGCCAGTTTGTCTTTAGATGCCCTACTGATCCAACATGGCTAATTGCATCCAGA